AAAACCGCAAAATCAATATCAGGCGTCTACGTATCTGTTATCTGTTACGTATCGTTATACCTTAAAATACATAAAAAGCCATATCGATATTGCTCAATTTGTACAAGGACAATTTATCATCAGATTTTTATCGATATAAGTCTGATTTTTATAACGATACCAAGCCCAGATAGATCTAATTGTTAAGGTTAACTGTTGCGTATGCAACGGGTTACAACCTTGTATTGAAATTGATGATACGAGCCAATAGGGAGAGATAAATTATAGGTTTTTTAAATTCTGGCCCAAAAGTATCGGCATGTGATAAAATTCTTTTATGAACGCATAACGATAATTCAAATAACTTGTTCTTTAAAGTCTGAATATGTCGCAACTATTACTACGCCTGTTCCAGAGTGAACATTTCAATAGCTGGATGGCCATTTCATACCTGTTTAGGTATCCAGATTCAGTCGGGATCCAACATTATTTATGCAATGAGCTCAAGAAATTCCCAATGTCAGAAATCGAGTTCTTTTTACCGCAGTTATGGTAAAGGTTATGAGTTATTTACTTTTTTCAAGCATATGAGACATTTATAAGAGCATTTCTGCTTGCTAAAATCATTTTGTCGAGTTGCCTGAAATCGGGTTAGAAAAACGACCGGTTGGACGTCACAACGCATTTATCCGATAGACGAAACTTATTCATTTTATTTTATATTATTTCTTAAATTTCCCAATTCAAGTCATTTGTTAATTAGTCGACCCACTGAATCGGTGGCTTTAGAATATTTTATACTAGAATATTGTGAGAAGTCAACACATATGGCTATACTGGTATTGTGTACAAATATTTGTCATAAAAAAAAAACAATTTAAATAAATTAAAATAAATTGGAGGAACTATATATACATTAGTTAATAATCATGATTTTTATTTTTTAGACATTATGGTATCTTCAAGCATATCGTTCAGACTTATCTGCCAATCCATCTTCACCTGCCTTCACAGTATGTAAACGTGTACTGAACAAATGCCAAGCATTAGTATTTAACGGAAAGCAAGATGAGAATGATAAAGTTACAATCCCTGGCACTGGCACACGAGAAATGTTTCCACGACAAGTTCGTGAGAATACTTACCCTGCTCTTGTTGGGATTGGTGCGATGCTTGCTGGTATCGCTGCACCAATGCTAACAAAGAGTGCTGGCCAAATTGCTATAGCACAAGGAAGACGAGCAAGAACTTTTAGTAACGTTGCAGGTGGGATTGTTAGGAGACGTACTTATTCTGGGAATGTCCGAACTCCTAAACAATCCGAGTTTCCAAATGACAATATGTCAAATGAGGATTCTATTCAACTTTTGAATGATGATTCAACAATATCGAAAAATAAAGATAAAAAATTAAATGAAGATTTGTATTACAATAACAAAAGCAATGAGTCACAAGAAATCCAGATTGACTCAGCATCATCAACAAAAGATGTACTTGTGGCTGAGGACAACAAAGATAAGGTGAATGTAATTAAGGATGAACAAGACGTCTCTAAGATTAATGGACAATCCAAACCAAAATTTATCAAAGGTCATAAGAAAAGTTTATCGCGATCAGCTTCTTCATCTCTTCCACACAGACATAATGGACTGAGTAGTGCTATGTTTACATCTCCATCACTTGATGATTTGCAAAAAGGAAGTGCTTATTCGGTGAAACAATATTCAAAACCTCGACCACAATCTGCTGATTATCCGCTATCTAGTGTTGAACAGGATGGTTATTATGACGACGACGAAATAGAAAATTTAGATCATACTTTATTAGATGAGCTGGAAGATTTTAGTCCTGAACGGCGAAGGCGTCTTCTCAAGGGAAATTATTTCCAATCTGAACCGCAATTCCTATTAGCACTTCAAGATATTTCAACAAGATTAATTATTGTTCCGCGAGAAGCAAGACAAAGCACTTTAAGGGCTGAATTGACATTATTAAATCATAATTTACCAGCAGAAATTTGCATGCCATTATGGTGTCCTGCAACTGCCGAGAATCCATGTCATCATCGTGTAGTTAGGATATCGCCAGCTGACGCAGTGGTGTTAAATTCAGCTGAACGGGTATAATAAATTTATTGTTACTATTCAGCATTTAGAGGATTAAAAAATTCTAATTATTCTAAAATATTCCTTTAAGGTACCTTATTTATTAATGGTAGAAGTCCTTGAAGGGGAAACGAATTTTGATATGTCCAGAATGCAAGCTCAAAAATCATTAAACCGTTTACTTCATGATGAAAAAAAACGGAAAAAAGGTTCTACTGATACGTCAATATCGACAGATACACCAAAAAATAAGGACAATATAAATAAATTAACTATAGAACATTCTGAGGAATCTACAGATAGCCTTGGTAGTGTAAATAAACAAGACACGGAACGTTCTCATAATAAATTAAAAGATACATCAGATGCAAGTGATAACATTGGCGAAAAACTCATAGATAGTGAATGCAATTCTACAAATAAAAGTGATAGCATCAAAACTGATGATATCGGAGAGCGACAATCATCACCATTAATTACTCAAATATCTGCACCACCACGTAGTTTACCAAAAACACGGCCGTCCAGACGCACTGCGTCAATTGACAGGCTCCCACCTCTAGTTTCTCTCGATGAAAAAGGTGCACAACCCTTGATAATTGAGCCTTATACACAAACAATTGATACTTTATCACAATCGAAAAATGTATCATCTGTTCCATACACCCTTACTACTCCAACTCTACCAGAATCAAATAGCCAATATTTCAAGCAAGTTATTAATCGTCGACAGTCCAATTCAGCAGATGAGTTTGCTGAAAGAATGCGTACAGCTGCAGTCATGCTTGCACAATTGAATGCAGCGCAACAAGTGCGCACATCTTCCGCTGGTGAAACAATACAAAGGACTAGGGCTGATACTGAGGCAATAAAGAAAAAAATAATTAGTGAGATGATGTATTTAGAGGAACAAAGAATGTTGAAAATGACAACCCAGGGTGTTACCAGTGTAGTCGGTAACGGTGGCGAAGGTGGAGGTGATGAAATGTTGGAAGACGAAAAACACGTACTGATGGCCTTCAATAAAGACGATCCAAGTGGTAAGAAATAATAATATTTATTAAATTTAAATACATCTATTGGTATAAAATTAAACATTTTGTTGTAGCTGCCGTGTTTAGTGAAGATTGGGAAACGAAAAAGGATCGCATTCGTAAATCTTCTCCTTTTGGATACCTTTCAAACTGGCGTTTATTGTCAGTCATTGTAAAAACTGGTGCCGACTTGCGTCAAGAACAATTGGCGTGCCAACTAATCCGAGAAATGCAGAGAATATGGCAAAATGCTGGCATTAACGTGTGGGTGCAATAGTGAGTAATCATTTTCTACAATCTACTATTATTACGATTATTATATTATAATTATTATTATAATTATTATTGTAATCATTATTATTACCATCATCGTTATTTCCTTTCCATTGTTACTTGAATTCATTTACTTGTATAGTTCATCATTTATCGATATCATATCTTGTTTAATAGTTACAGAGTACTTGTAACATCTGACAATTCAGGATTGGTAGAAACAATTCAAAACACCATTTCAGTCCATTCGATCAAAAAAGATGCGTATACAAAAAGGTTAGAGGAAAAAGGGTTTATATTCACTTTATTTGACTATTTTGTGAAGGTTCGGGGTTTTTTTTATAATGCGCAAGATAATATTCATTTTTTATTTCATTTTACTTATCTCGTTCGTTATTTCAACCGTTATTCAGACATATGGTGATGTTTCATCAGAATCATTCTTACGTGCTCAAGATAATTTTATGAGAAGCTTGGCAGCTTATTCTCTTGTTTGTTACATTTTGCAAGTGAAGGATCGGTAATTGTCTAATTTTTTTTTTTTTTTCGGTTAAAAAAAAAAAAAAAGAACTAGTAGTGAACTAATATCATAATTTTGCAGTCATAATGGCAATGTTTTATTGGATACTGAAGGTCACTTGATACGTATGTATTTAATTGAATAGTCTGTGAATTTTTGATAAAATCTTGATTCTATAAAACCATATCATTTTAGATATCGATTTTGGATTCATGCTCTCTAATTCACCTGGTTCCGTCGGATTCGAGCTTGCTCCTTTCAAGCTTTCGCAAGAGTATTTGGATATCCTTGGTGGGGTAACTAGTGAGAAATTTGCAGAGTTCAAATCGTTATTAAAACAAGCTTTTCTTGAACTGCGCAAGCATGCTGATAACTTTATATTATTGGTTGAGATGATGTCCAAAGGTATAGTTTATTCCTTTGAATTTTTTTTTTTTCTATCATTACAGTCTTGAAATGCCACACATTCGATTTTAACCAATACTTTCTTAAAAGATTCGAAACTTCCTTGTTTTCTTGCGGGTTCGGCCGCTCATCTCCACGATAGGTTCCAACTTTCTCTTACTGAACCGCAGTTTGACGAATTTGTTGAAAAGTTGATTATGTCAAGTTGTTGTAATGTGTTTACCCGATTGTATGATACTTTTCAATATTACTCTAATGGAATTCTATAATAAATTTTGAAAACATGATTTTATTTGGATAAATAAGAAGCCGTGGATATGTTCGCTTTTTTATTATTGTGTAGATGTTTTTGAGGGAATTTGGTATAAGAGGAATAATTTTGAATCAATTTGAATTGAATTTGCTACCTTGTATAATATTACTAACAAAATTCTGTGTTTTCAGACAATGTTTATTTTCATTTTTAGAAAAAAAACAAGAAATCTTTAAATAATTATAAATTGTTAAAAAAAATATATATACAATAATTTTGTTTATAATTTTATTTCGTTTTAGAAAAAAAAAATTATAATTGTTATATTTTATTTTCATTCATTTTTTATTTATTTTCTTTTTTTTTTTTTTTTTTTCTTTGAAAAAAAAAAAAAATAGTTCTTAATTTTAAATTTATTAACATACAATCGTTCAACTACCAATGTGATGCACAATAATAGCCTTAAGATTGAAATTTTTAAAGGATGAGAATCTTGAATTATGAATTAAGCTACCTAACAAACCCTGTATAAAAATTAACCCCAATAGTCCTTTTAAACAAATTTCTAATTATAAATTACATAAATACTATTCACCAATCGTCTACGCCACTGTTAAGTTTATCAATACGAGCACGGAAGGAAAAATCATAAATGCCATATGGAAATTCCCATTCTCTTGTACTAGTTAATTTTACAAAACGGATTCCAGTCTCTCGAATTTGAAAAGTACATGATAATAAATGTGTTCTTCCGTCAAGGCCAGTTTGTGGAAGCTGTCTAACTTCTATTTTCGGTAATGGTGATAATTGTATCTAAAGGAATTAATAATACAATTAAAAACGTAAACTAATCTATGAAAACGAATAAGTGTAAACGCATAAAGTTATACCCAATCTATTCCATTATAAGATATCTGTATCTTTATGTTTAACGATGAGAAATAATCTCTGTGGTGATCGACTACGAGAGTAAATATGAGTGGGAATGGCATCGGGAACAACAAATCTAAACTTATATAATCATCCTTACGAATGACTATTTGGTTAAATAATGAAAGTAAGCCAAAAACTGCCAAAAAAAACCTATTATTAATGCTTATTTGACGTAAGTTACCCTCTTGTGATTTCCATGCAGTCCATTCTTTATCATCTACTGCGTGCGAATAAGGATGACGAATGAAATGTCCAGTGTCATAATAGCTCTCATGAATTCGTTCAGACTCACTAATATTAATATATGGTCTATAACGAAATGCTCGAACGTCCGGAAAAGAATGTTTATTTGTAAGAAATAAACATCTATCATTCGCGCAAGGAGAACGTACATCACGTTGATATATGCTAGGTGAAATTTCCTTAGTTTCAAAGGCACCTGTTTTACGACTTAGATGATCGTATAAACGTACCAAAGCTTTGTGCATATAAATTTTGTTGCGAATTCTTCCCTCTCCAGCACTAAAAGCATTTTCCTGCGGTAATTCCATTAATTCATTCTCCAATTGATATGGCACTTGGTTCATAAATGTTGTGAAATACATGTCGCCATACGCAAATTCAGTTGGGTCCATCTCAGTGATCGAAGCCATTTTGAGAAACCTTACTACATTTTCCCGAGAAGTAAAAGCACCGGTTCCAACCCAAGAAAAGCAAGCGTGCAAATCGACAGCTAGAATCAAATAAATTTGAAAATTTAATATTGTTAAAAAAACGATATGTTTAGATAACGGAAAATTTTTCAATACATCTATAAATTAATTCACATACAATCATCAAAAAAACACCATTTCCAATTGGTCAAGGAATATACGTCCGCATTTGTATCGGTATGAATTAAATTTGGAAAACGTAGAAAGTTAGCATACATAGAACGCATATTCCGAATAATCCAATCATCATCCTGAAAATAACAGTAAGGAGTAGTGGCCATTGCACAAGCCATGTATCTTGCAATGAAATGCATGTTTCCTGGAGAGTTGTAATAACGGATTTTGGTGCATTGGGTCTCGGTGAACATCTTCACATTGTTAAAGAATAAGATTCACGTTGTCAATAAATAACCTTAATTAAATATAGATCATCTCCGCTAAATTGGCTTTTATAGTTAGAAATTCAATTAATTCACACAATATTAATCAAGAGAAATCTCTTACTTGGTCAGAAAGATGTATATCACCATTATTATTCCATATCATGATCTCCTTAAACATTGAATATTGACACAAATGTTTCACTATAATCTTCAAATTTTCTAATCTAGACCAATTCAATAGAATTGCAGTAGTTTCTCCATCACCATCAGTGGGAAAAACGTTGCTTAACACATCTACTGAAGGTATGTCTTGTGATATTATTTCTTTTGATGGAAATTGACTTATACCATAAAGACATATCCAGAATAAAAGTATCAAAAAAAGCAGTAAAGGTTGTTTGAAAATAATGTTTGTTTTGAAAAACTTTAAAATTTGAGGGATTAAAGGTGATTCTTGCAATATTTTGCGTCGAAAATTTGTTTTTGTGGTAAACACATCGGTATTTATGTTGATGTGAAGGGGTAATCGTGTAGTGGTTTTGTCAGGCATTGTGCTTTTACTATTTCTATGAAGTATTTGTTGGAATAAACAGTGGCTTACGGTAAAAAAAAGATGATCGTTAACGATCAAATTTTTGAAACTTATAAATGTTGACTGTTGAAGGTAAAAGCTATCTTCACAAAGATCGTTCGCAGAAACTTCAAGTAATGAATTTCAGAATGACAGGCTTGCAAAAACATTTGTGCAAAAGAAATCGCAATAATATGAATTGCTGTTCCAGAACAGCAGAATTATTATTAGTGTAAAGTACGCATTCAATTGAATTTTAACCGACTTTTGATAAAAAAAAAAAATTATGTCCCCCTGTTAATTTTTACTTATTTCTGCAAGTAATACAAGGGTCTGCAAATTGTCCATTTTGGCAGCCCGTTTAATAAGCCTTTAAATTTAAATTTTACTGGGCCGGCCCGCCCAAGCCCAGCCTGTTTATACAAGTCACTCTCTTTATAGTGAAGTCCTCGGGCTGAGAGATTCACTATATCGAGAGCCTCTCAATCAATATAGCGATAGTACGTAAAAACAATAATCAAATATATTATATATACTAAATATAACAATATAACAAAAAATCTATTAATTTGATTGGATAATCAAATATTATATAATAAAATCTTCACTATACGTAGCTTATATCGATTTATAGAGCAAAAATTTATTAATAATGATTCTGTTCTGACAAAATTCTATAAACCAATCCACTATATCGAAGGTTTACTATAACGAATAACGAGAGTGACTTGTCTACATATCGATATATATATTATGTGTAAAAATTAAAAATTACTTTATATTTACATACGTACTATTGTACGTATGAGCACAGCTTATCAGTTATCGTTATGTAACGTTCTTTGATAATCCTAGAAAAGTGCCATAGGAAGACTTTACGTATGATTGGCTGTTTAAGGTTATTC